TCAAGACTGAATTGGGGACCGGAGTGGGTCAAGACCGGACTGGATCAAGACCGAACTGTATACAATCCAATCTTTGGTCCTTATATTTTCAAAAAGACTGGACTTGACCGCATCAATTTGGGCCAATTTAACTGGACCGGACCGTATAGCCACCCCTATAACTAGGGGTGTCAGTTCGGGTCGGGTTCGGTTACCCAAACCAAAACCCAAAAAAACCCGAAACTAAAATAAATGAAAACCGAAACCCAAAAACCCGAATAAGAATGCGGTCTGAGTTCTATTCCTTGGAAGTTTTCAGACTGAACCCGAAAACCCAATAAACAAAACCGTACCCGAAATAAAAAAAACCGAAACCCGAAACAAATCCGAACCCGAAAAACTGAAAATGTAACTAATCAGATCGATTTCGGGTAAACCCAAAAAACCGAACACACCCCCTAGGTATAACCAGCCGATACTATACTATTTCACAAATACTGCATTATATTAGAAACGGAATATATGTTATTATGCTTTTAACTTTATGTTGATATTTGAATTCTTGTTAGTGCTTGTAAACCGATTCTGTACGATAACCGAGCCCAAATTTTAAAATGGGTTTATGCTGAGGCGGATAACCATATGAACAAAACAAAAATGATAGTGATAATGGTTTTGAAACCGATATATATATATCAAAGTGGTAAATAATTATATTTCAGACAAAATTATTGGATAACCAAACCATTTATTGCAAACCGAATCATAACTGATTATAATATACACTAAGCCTAGTCATTTGAATATTGATGAAATTTTGTATTATTTATTTTGTGAGAGAGTTTGAAAGCTATGTGAGAACTTCTTGGTGAGATGATATAGATTTAGAATTATATATTTTTGTTAGTGACAAATTGAACACTAAATTAGTGTATTATATATGTCTTCTATGAAAATATACATAATCCCACAAACAGTCAACCATTGGATTTTTAATTGTTAACTATTAGACTATAACTTATCATTAGAAAAATTAAATAATTTCACAAACGGTTAATCAATAATTTTATAATCGTTTAATTATTAAACTATAAATTATTAAGTTTTCGATTCAACATCCAATTTGGTTATGCAAACAGAGACACTTATTAGTAATTTCGGCAGTTGGTTTAGCAACACTAATTTTAATTATTGTCAAGTGGTTAAGGATTCTTATATTTTTTTTATGTATGAAAGTTTGCATTGATCTACTTGGATCTTATAATGATATATATATATATCAGTCTATGTCAAAAAAGATACATAAATATGCTCTATATATTGCGGTCATGAAATATCTCGTACGCCACCACAAATCCTATGATGAAGACATTCCACCAAATTACGAAAAGGGAAAAAGAAACGTGTTCCTTTCTCGCTAAAAAACAATAAAAAAATATTTAACGCCGACCCACCAATAATATAGTTCCGTTGTGATGTGATGACGACTGTTGATCAGGAACTGTTAGCGGCGGTATCCGACACAACAAGCTCGTCCATGGAATGGGCCCTGGCGGAACTCCTCAAGAACCCAGAAACGATGACGGCAGCTCGCCGGGAGTTCGACGACAAGTTCCCCAAATGCCACGTCATCAAAGAATCCGACCTCGCCTACCTACCTTACCTCTGCGCATGCGTGAAGGAGACCCTACGACTCCACCCTCCGGCGCCGCTTCTGCTGCCACGTCGGGCGGCCACGGACTGCCACGTCATGGGCTACACGGTACCCAAGGCCGCCCACGTGTTCGTCAACGTGTGGGCGATCGGGAGGGACCCGCGTTACTGGGAAGACGCGCTGAGTTTCAAGCCGGAGAGGTTCTTGGTGGGTGGTTCAGAGCGTGACGTGGATTACAAGGGCAGCCACTTCGAGTTCCTGCCGTTTGGGAGCGGGAGGAGGATTTGTTCCGGGCTGCCCATGGCTGTAAGGAAAGTCCAGCTGGCGGTGGCGACTCTGGTCCACGGGTTTGACTGGTCGCTGCCGGCCGGGATGGCGGCGGAGGAGTTGGAGATGGATGAGAGGTATGGCGTCACGTTGATGAAGCTGAACCCATTAGTCGTCATCCCAACTCCAAGGGTTTAAGCGTGCATGGCAGCATGGTAATTAATAAATGTCTACTTATGAATAAGCTTCTGCTGGTAATGGTTTGTATGTAATCTGTGCTCTCGATCTATATATAGATGCACGACTACGTTTGAGTTTAGTGTATTTTAATTATAAGGAACGAAGAAGAGACATTTATGAATAGTGTCATTTTGGAAACTTCAATTTATAGTCTTTAACAATAAATAACTCCAAGTTTGAAAAGAAAATTTCTCAGCATATGATGTAAGACCTCAATAAAGCTTGCTCAATCAACATGATCTAGACAACAGGGGCGGAGCCAGGATTCGAACTTCGGGGGGGCCGAAAATGTTTATCCGTAAGAGGCAAAAAAAAAAAAACACAAAAATATAATACCAACTTTAAAAAGAGTACTTTTAATCATCAAAATCGCCCAAGACACTTTTTAAGACAATTAGATTTACTTCAAACACGATTTAAGACGAATAAATTATCATGTCATTTTGACTATAAATGATTTAATTACCAACAAATAATAATACATTCCAATGCCTAACATGTTTCATGATTTTTATAGCTGAAAAATCAATGTGTACAATCTATTACAAGAAAAAATTTAATCATTGTATATTCAAAAGAGTCCTTAGAACATGTAATGCAAAATTTACACCATTTTCTAGAGCTAAAAATGAATACCTACGGCTACCAGCATTCCCTCAAGTCATTGTATATTCAAAAGAGTCCTTAAAATATGTAATGCAAAATTTACACCATTTTTTAGAGCTAAAAATGAATGCCTACGGCTACCAGCATTCCCTCAAGTACTCTTTTTAAAGGTAAAAATATGTCTGTCATGAGCATCGAACCAGCAATCCCTCAACCATTTAAGATTACCATTCCATTAGGCTGCACTAGTAAACGTGAAGTGATTTGCGACTACTTCATTATGGTTTATACTCTGTTTATACGTAATTTTCAAGAATCACGAACAACTTACACGTAATTGTCGAAATTCTCGGGGGGGGGGGGGGGGGGGGGCCCTCCCGAACCATAGGGTAGCTCCGCCCCTGCTAGACAAAATATTAGTAATGTGAACTTACAATACATTATAAATACTGCACATGCGATTCATATGTTTTCTCTCGATCGGAATGAATAAGAAGCTTTTCTAATAAATAACTATTATTTCTTGGTCAAGTTTCTTTCAGACATTATTGACAAAATATTATTATTTTTGTGTGTTTGTTTAAATTATTCATTAAAATGTAAATTATTATTAAGTTTTAGTAAAAATGATCAAAAATTTACATAGTAATCTTTAATCATATATTTTTTGGTTTAAAAAGTGTGATATATATGTCACTCTATGAACATTAGTATACTGTTGCGTACATCAATATAATGCAAAACCAAAATGTGATATATGTGACTCTCCATCATGATTGTCACGTCGGTCGGAAACGACACAAATCGGTTGTACCACTGGTAAAACCATTACACTTGCTAAACCGGTTTGATAACCTTTCTCTCCATATATTATTTATAGATATAATGCAAAAACAAAAGCAAAATAATTATTGGATAAAAGAGAATTAAATATTATATGAAGAGAGAGGGACAACTCCATAAATAGGTGAATAACTATTTTTTTTGGTAAGAAATTGTCCTCCTTGGCAACTTAAGATCTCTCCAAATGCTTATGTGGCAAAAATTTAATTTTGAATTGCCATAATATTATGTATAGATAGATAGATAGATAGATTCTTAAGTACTATCCAACTAAATTTCTTTTATTGTACATGCATAAAACTTCTCATATTACATAAACGTCTAGCATTTGAATCCTATATATACACCTATACGGGGTTATTGATTTTTCACTAAATTAAATTTTAAGTGAATCTCATGACAAGACCAAATAGTACAGACTCCATCGTTAAAAAAAGTCGCGTAACATTTAAGGACGTTAGCTCATGTTCTTACGAAGGCGCGCGCATATGGATCAAGGAAGCTAGAATCAATGACACTTGTTTAGCTGTTGTGGGAAGTCCCGAGCACACCCTCCGTCTAGAGCCAAACGACAGAAACTCAAAGTCGCGCAACCTTTAAAGTCCCGTTAATCGAGCCATCAATGAACCAAAGACAACGAGTCCTCCCAAACAGGCGGGTCTCGCCCTATCACACACACATTAACAACTCACACTCATCCACAACATAACAAATAGGTCGACTACTGTGGTTTGGGATGGATATGTGGTTTCAACCACCGAATTGTGAGTGCATTTCAAGAGTAGTATCATCTTTTTTTACCTTGCCAAACAAGACTATCTATATTGTATACAAGAAGAAAACGTCGCATATTTATTGCACGGTAGAAGTGTTTTTCATTAGTTATACACATCCCTCGATCGTCTGTCTCCTCTCCTCTCTCCCTGCTGAGTATTGAGACACCTATGGAGGATAAAAACGTCACATTAGGTGAATTGTAAAGCAAGTACCAAAATTTGACGTCAAATAATATTGCCAGACCTCACTTGCTATTCTTGAACTCGTACAGTCGTACTTGGCTTCATTTATTAGAGGTGCCGTGCCAGTACAGTGACAACGAACACTATCCAAGCACATGACCAAGTTAATATGGAAATGGGGATGAAATTGCTCTGCAAGTTGAGTGGCAAGTGGCAATTGTACTACCATCAATCAATGTTAGCTTGATTTCTTTTATGAAATTATTGGAATGCTTATGCACCGGATTATCTGGTTTGGATTGCGCAAATGGTCACATTATATCTCTCATTTCACCACTTAATGAACTTCTTTGGTTTCAATGACCGTTTCAAGATCTTTGACACATTGCATACTCAACTTATAAATATCTACTGTTATAACTGAGGAGCTCTTCGTATTGTCGAACAGTTATATTATACTTTTCATGAACTCATCAAATATATTAAATTCGGTTATTATCTTGTACGTAATAAACTTTATGTTAAGGTAATCTTCATGACTCAAATGGTTGATAACATACAAACATAATCACACGAGCTTGTCTCGTCATTAATCCATATATGGCCTTTTTTTTAAACTACGCGAATGACTCTTAGCTCCCAAACGAACACCGAAGATTTCATAATGAACTTCCGTTGGGAACAAGAAGCAGAGGTTGTTCCTTCTGCAAGGTGATCCCAAACTTCTCACTCATATCCATCTCTGCCGGATCTTCTCCGTCGGGGAGGCACCAATCGAAGTTTCGAACCAAAGCAGCCAGAACCAACGGAATCTGCCTGGTGGCCAATGGCACTCCGGGGCACATCCTCCTCCCAGCGCCGAACGGCAGCAGCTCAAAATCCTGCCCTCTAAAATCCACCTCCGACCCAATGAACCTCTCCGGCTTAAACGACGTGGGGTCATCCTCCCACACCGTCGGATCCCTCGAAATCGCCCACACGTTGACCACAATCTGAGCCCCTTCAGGGACCGTGTAGCCCATCACCTCGCAACTCTCCGATGCTCGGTGCGGCAGCAGCAACGGTCCCGGCGGGTGTAGCCTCAGCGTCTCCTTCACGATTGCGTTTAGGTACGGAAGCCGACACGCCGCAGATTCGTCGATCTGCGATTTTCCTAGTAGCGGTGGGGACAATTCCGCCATCAGCTCCTCCCGCAGCTTTTCCATCGCCCCCTTGTTTCGAATCAGCTCTGTCATCGCCCATTCTATTGTGGCCGTGTTAGTATCCGTACCGGCACTGAACAATTCCTACAAGAATAACCAAAGCTCAAACTAATCTTGTGGTACTGTAGACCATAAAAATCGAATTGGAGTTTTCTTATGAACTTACGAGACTCAACCAGTCAATTTGGTCATCATCGAGTCCATTTTCCAGGAAGATATCCAAGAAATCTTCAGCACCATATGGGTCTCTCCGCCGCCGCTCTCTCCTCTGTTTAACGTAAGGCTGCCAAACAGAGTACAACTCGTTGCAACGTCTCGCGTCTCAGCCCCTGGGGATCCAATTTCTTCAGAACCGGGAAAAAATCGGCGAGATTAGGGGACGTCCCCAATTCCATGAACCTCCAAATCAGCGACTTCAATCGATTCGCCGTCTCGCTGCTTTCGAACCCGATGCAATCTCGCGACAACATGAGATTCGACAGCGAGTCAAAGATAGCAGCGAAAACCACTTGGCCGATACTAACCGGCTCCCCTAGTTTCCCCTCGAGGAATTCCACCATCTGGGCGACCTTCCTCTCCCTGACGGCGGCCTGAGATTCGATGGCCTTGGCCGAGAAGATCTGGTTCCTGAACATTGCTCGGAAGGCCTTCCACTGGTCGTTGCTGCAGCTGGAAGCCCAAACGATCGCCTTGCGGTCGAGCTCCACCGTGTCGTACGGCACGACCGTGGGGACGTATCTGGCGGAGAGGAGGCGGTCGTGGGTTCTCAAGATTTCGGAGGCGGCCGCCGGGGAAGAGGCGACGACGAGGAGCTGGGAGCCGAGGCGGAGGGAGATGAGAGGGCCGTACAGCTGGGAGAAGCGTTGGAGGGAGATGTGAGCTTGCTTGCCGAGGTGAGGGAGGTTTCCGATGATGGGCCATGGCTTAGGGCCTGGAGGCAGCGGCGGTGAGCGGTGTTTGGAAGCTGCAGAGGTGGTGAGAAATCGTGAAACGGTGATGACGACGAGGATGGTGATGGAGATTGGGAGGAGGAGAAGATAGATGAGTACCATTTTGTCAGGAGATGTGATTTGGAGAATTGGATATTTGGCTGTTAAGATATCTGCTGGGGATTCATTTATAGAGCCACCGGTACACTGACATCTAATAAATTAAAGATGCATGGCTTGAACAAGTCCCGGGTGGGCGAAGAGAAGATGCATGCATGGCTTTTTTTTATGTAGGCTACTTTTCACCTGTCTCCTTCATCTGTTTGTACTTTGTAGTCTCAAAACAGCATATTCTCGTACGGGTCTATAACTGGGTATAATAATTAATTGTCACCCAAATTTGAATTAGCCTACGCAAAATATATAATGATTAATTGTCACCCAAAGTGGAATTAGTAGTCTAAGCCAAACTACGCATGGCATGGGTATAATAATTCATTTCGGTTTTGGTACTTCGGGTTTCAAGGATTTGGAGGCTGAATTTTGACATACAAATACTAAATCAATTAGACAAACAATGTTCTCTTTCGAATACAAAAAGCACAATCCATTATAATTTAATCCAAAAGTTTCCAAAACTCAACGCCTTCATTTTCAAATCCAACCAGCAAACGAACCCTTAAACAGACTTCAAATAAGGTCATGCAAATCAAGACATGTGTTGTAGCTAGAGGACACTCTTTTGGCTCCGTCTTGACGAATTTTGGCTCAACAATGAAAATTAATGGGTATTTGACTTGATGTCGACCCGGTTAAAGCGAGTTCGACCCGGTGTTGGCGAGTTTTTGCTACCACGCTTAAATCAATAGATATTCGACTTAATTCGATCCAGGTAGAGCGAGTTGAACTTGGTGATAACGAAATTTGGGTCGAAATCAATGGATATTTAACTTAATGTCGACTCGGAGAAAGCGAATTTGTCCCAATGTTGGCGAGTTTTTGCTTACACGCTTAAATCAATGGATACTCGACCTAATTCGATCCGGTTAGAGCGAGTTGAACTTGGTGTTAACAAATTTTGGGTCAAGGACGAGTTTTACATGCTTTTCTAATTGGAGGGTTTGGTCAGTGTGATCTTATTTAAAACTCGCCCTAATTGCCTTTGTTGTCGTTTTAAACTTTGTTTTGTTTTCATTATTAAGAGAGTTGAACCCGGTGTTGACTAATTTTTGATCGACAATGAGTTGTACATGCTCAAATCAATGGGTATTTGATCTAATTCGACCCGGTTAGAGCAAATTGAACTTGATGTTCACGAATTTTGGGTTCGGTGTAGATTTATTTCCTTTTGCGACAATTGAATCTATTTTGGGTTGGGAATGAATTTTACCAGCTTTTGTGATAAACGGATTGGGTCGGACGTGGATTTTGTTAAAAATTCCCCCGCTTTGAAAATTACACCTTCATCATTCATATGCAAAAGCAACAGGCCAAAAACAAATCAAATCAGAATCACCTCAACTTATTTTCGATATAATTGTACCACACAAAGCTGACCCACGGATGGAAACCTAGGCCCTTAACGATGCCCCGGCAAATTTAACGTCAACGTGTACGCAAGTTCCGTTTTTCTCATCTTTCCCTCCCTACCTACTATATATAAATACCCCACGAGGCCATAACACCTTCACCATTTCCCTCAGCAATCCCAAGCCGGCGTCGTTCGGTATCCCCACAGGCCACAAACTAGGGATGAGTATTGGGTGGGTCAGGTGGATTTTGACCATAAAATGCACCCACCCACGCTTAAACGGATTGATAATTTTTAACCCACCACCCACCCACATTTAGTCTCGGGTTGAGTCGGGCGGATTGTAGATGATTTGGGTAGGTTCGTGGGTTCACCCACATCACAATGTATATAATATAAAGGAGTCAACTTGACATGATAATAGGCGAAGAGAGTTATCTGGGCAAACAAGAAGATGAAATAGGGCGAAAAATGTCGAATTAGTTCTTAAAATGGATAGAAATTCTATTATGAAAGAGTTTTCTACAGATTGAGATGATTATCATGTGCAAGGAACTAAGAAAAATAATTCCACAAAGGAAAGAGCAGTGATCTAGGCACAAGAACTAGAGGAAAGAATAAAGGGAAGAAGAGGGGATCGCTATTTGGAAGTTTGGCTTTGAGGTTCAAACTCCAGGAGCAGTCCTAGTTTATGTCTAACGTCTCCACTCTCCCCTCTCTAGACGACGACTTTGATCTTTTTGTTGTTGGGTTGAGCGGGTCACCCGCGCACCCACCCACAACCCACCCACCACCCGGCGGATGGCTCCCATCGCAACCCGTCACCCACAAATAGACCCACCCACTTAACGAAATTCGAGTCAAATACGGGTGGGTCGGCCCAAACCTGCGGATGATCCGCATGCCCAGCCCTACCACCAACAATGACGACCGTCGTAGAATCCCATGTCCCCTTTCTTCCCGCCTTCCTCTTCCCCGACTTAATGCTTTTGCTTCTTCTACCCATACTCTCCTTCCTCCTCCTCTCCCTCTTCCTAATCCTACTCCGCTACCGCAGGCTGTCCGTCCAACTCCCTCCAGGCCCAAAGCCCTGGCCCATCCTCGGCACCATCCTCCACGTCGGATCCATGCCCCACGTAACCTTCGCCCGACTCTCCCAAGTCCACGGCCCACTCATCTCCCTCCGCCTCGGGACCTAGCTCATCGTCGTGGGTTCCTCACCGGACCCAGCCAGTGAGATCCTAAAAACTCACGACCACGACCTCTCCGGTCGAAGCGTCCCCCACGTGTCCTTCGCTCGTGACCCGGAGCTGAACCGCGACTCCATCGCCTGGTCCACCCACTGCACGGACCACTGGCGGTCCCTCCGCTCGATGGTCCGAGCCGAGCTGTTCACGTCCAAGTAGAGGTGGCAATTGGATCGGATTCGTGGATTCGTGGATTGGATTGGTGGATCCATGGATCAAATGGATTGGTGGATTCATGGATTGGATCAAATGGATTGGTGGATTGATCCATGAATCCAAATGACGTCCAAGGCTTGGACCAAAATGTAAAATTTGAAAAGCTTTGGTACTAAAATGTCATAATGAAAAATTTTAGTTACCAAAATGTAATTTTCCAATGATATTTTTCGTATAAAAATATAAATTTTAGGTACCAAAATGTAAAATATAAAAATTTTAGGTACCAAATCGTAACTCGTTGGCTCCTCGGGCGGAACCCGGTTCGAGAACCTTCTCTCACCTTCACCAAGTCATCGCCAGATTCATCCATGAATCCACCAATCCAATTGGATTTGGATCAAATGGATGGGATTTAAATGGATTGGATTAGGTGGATAATTTGGTGGATGAATTGGATTTGATTCATGGATTTGGATACTAATTGCCACCTCTACGTCTAAGGCCGTGGACCAGCAGTCGGAGATAAGGGAGAACCAGGCTCGGGGGATGGCTCGGTTTCTGAACCGGAGGCAAGGGGAAGAGGTCCGGATCCGTGACGTGGCGTTTGCCTACACGTTCAACGGCCTGGCCAGTGCTTACGTGTCCAGGGAACTGATCCAGCTGGAAGGCGGCGGCAGCGAGCGGATGAGCGGGGTCGTGAGGGAGATGATGGAGCTGTACGCAGCTCCGAATATATCGGACCTTTATCCGTCGTTGGGAGGACTCGACATCCTAGGTTTGAGGAAGCGTACGGAAGAGTGCGTGGCGAAGCTGAGGGAGCTGTGGGACCCGCTCATTTCAGAGCGGAGGGAGGCCAAAGAAAGCAGCGGTTGCCGCGCTGATCGTGACTTCCTGGACGCGATGCTCGACTCGGGGTTTGCCAACGAGGCGATCAGTTACACCTTTCTGGTAATTCCTCGTAATATAAGTACAAATTAAAGCAAAGCAGAAGATGTAGCCCCATCGGTCTCTATTGGAAAAAGAGACAATTTTACAAGCCGTTGGACAAGAAAATAAGCAATTCAATGAGTTTAGGTAAAAACACATAGGCAGTGACGGATCCAGAACGCAGAAAAGCACTGAGCCGCATTTCATTAGAAAATTAGAACCGTAAAAAAATATTATAGTTTTTTTACAATATAAATTATACACGACGATATTTTAATTTAGCGAATACATCAATAATGGAGTCCACATCCATACCAATAGTATACACTGTTTTAGATAAAAAAACTCGAGTAATCGGCGATAAATTCATCGCTGTTTTGTTGCACAAATCAGTTTTCATATGTTTCATTGTTGAAAAGGTTCTCCACTAGCTGCTTTAGTAAATTTTCAGGGAACAAAACTCATATTTCTTATACTATTTTGTTTTAGACTTTTAGAATTTTAGATTTCATTGTTTTTTTAGAAGAATAATCTTTGGAGCTAGAATTTCTTGGCTAAATTTATAGTAGTGATTTGAATATGTTAATTTGGATCACTTTTCTAGTTACACTCAATCTTATTATAAAATAAAACTGGACCGAATAACTAAAATCGAAAAATTCATAAAGGCTATACTAACTCCGGATCCAGAGGAGGGCTGGGCCGGGGCCCGGGGTGGCCACCCCCTGGATCCGCCAGTGCACATAGGCACGAAAATACATAATATCACGAGGCATTTACGTTGAACCAATCACTAATATGCAATTTAATAGGTATAAACTAGGGGTGTAAGTTTGGGTCGGGTTCGGTTACCCAAACCGAAACCCGAAAAAAACCCGAAACTGAAATAAATGAAAACCGAAACCTAAAAATCCGAATAAGAATGCGGTCTGAGTTCTATTCCTTGGAAGTTTTCAGACTGAACCCGAAAATCCGATAAGTAAAACCGAACCCGAAACCGAAAAAACCGAAACCCGAAACAAATTCGAACCCGAAAAACTGAAAATGTATCTAATCGGATCGGTTTCGGGTAAACCCGAAAAATCGAACCCGAATGGACACCTAGGTATAACCAGTAGATACTATACTATTTCACAAATACTGCATTATATTAGAAACGGAATATATGTTATTACTAGCTTCTTGCCCGCCCGATGGGCGGTATCATTCACTCTTTTATATTTTATTTCATCTTCCTTGTCAGTTTGGTGAATGTATATCTGTCATAACCTAAGAGTTGAGCGAGTAGGTGGTAGTAAACTTCCAATTCATATAGTATATTTGGTCCCCTATAGAAAATAGGTATGGTCTAAGTGGTTTACTTTTTTTTTATCGCGATGTGTTTTCTTCATTCCACATAATAAATACAATATGGCCATGTACATGAAGGAGGTCCAAATGTGAAAACTCTAACATGTCTAGCAACTGCACACAAAAACATGTATTAATTAAATAGTAGGGAAAAATTAATTCAATGTATTTAATATGTATGCCAAGAGGTTAACTGATATAGCTTTAGAAAATAAAATCCTCATTTTTTTAAGTAATTATCTTCAATTTTCTGGATATGCGCTATACTTTAGTATTTAGTTTATTGATTGAATAGCTACAACCTATCATTTAAATAAATGAAAGTGACTCGTGGGATAATCAAAGGAGGTCTAAAATCCCAAAAAAAATATATTGAGCTCTAAATTTTTCAAGTAATGGAAAAGTTTATAAATAAATTAGAGTATAGACTGTATAGTAACAATAAAACATGTTTTATTACCTATGAAAGGCCAAAATCCTGTTAAGCCAAATATTTATAGAGATCATAGTATATTTTGACCATAATTATTATTATACATACTGTCGATTCGTGGAAAATATAGGAGAAGGAATTGATGGACGAAAAATGATAAAATATTATTTAAAAAACAGGAATAAAACTCAATAAGTTGGGCTAATGGTGATATAGAAGATGCTAATTGCGACATTCAAAATTTAAGGTTGAGCATAAAAACTACACATAAAAATGGGAAATGCAAATATATGGACAATTTCATAAAAAGTACTGAAGAATGATTTAGCTATATATATTTCAAGTATAATTTATACATAAGCCTCCTTGATAACTAAAAACATTCATATATTCTATTTCGCTCAAACTTAGAATGCCAATATATTGTAAATTTCATGAAAAATATTGAGAAAGAAATTAATGGTCGAAACCGCACAACAAATTGACCACACATAGAAGACTACTTTGATAAAATGGGAAGGAACAATACTTTTTTTTTGGTAAATGTCTATTTTTATCCAATTTTTTTCATATTTTTATATTATTCAAACCTATTAAACTTCTATTAATCATCCAAATCTTTCATAAAGTATCAAAATATTAGTCAGTTTTACGTTATCGTTAATAATTTTGCAACTCTTTTCTTAGTTAAAATACTAAAATTTTGGAATGTTGTCCTTCATGAGTCTCTTCCAAGTGAGTATCATGTTGCCAAGTCAATATTACTAACAAAATTGCAAATTTGAAGTTAACATTTGACTAATTTTTAATATTTGATAGGTTTGGGTAATGTAAAAGAATATGAAAAAGATTTGGATAAAAAATAGACATAACCCCTATTTTAGGGTTAATATATTTGTATGGCCCGAACTTTTCACATAATAAACATCCTGACCCATCTTTTTATCTATAACATCATTGCCTAAACTATACACCAAAGTAACGAAACTGGCCAAACCCAAAATTTGACCTTTTTTTAAAAGGGCCAAAAAGTGACCGTTATTTTGGATGGTCAAACGCGTTGACTAACAGTCAACGCGTCACATTACTGCCAAATCAGCACCTTTTCCTTAAAAAATTTATATTTTCCACCTATTACTATTTATTTTTTTCATTTTGTATTTACTTGTCTTTTGGTGTCTTTCATTACAGCAAATGACAGGTGATTGGCAATTTGTTTGGTTCATTAATCACCATTGGTTGGTAACGGGGCGGAGTGGGCTTTCTTCCCCATTTATTAGTGCATTTAACTTTATGCACAGTTATTCGTCGGGCAAGTTAAGTACTGTCATTCACTTAATTTAAAAGAAAGGAAAAATCAAAGGATTAAGGAGAAATTAGCTATGGATGATGTGGCACAATGTTTCCACAAAACATTCCACAAAACAATCATAATATATGTTATAGATGTTTTAACTTTATGTTGATATGTGAATTCTTGTTAGTGCTTGTAAACCGATTCTGTACGATAACCGAGCCAAAATTTTAAAATGGGTTTATGCTGAGGCGGCATAATTATATGAACAAAACAAAAATGATAGTGATAATGGTTTGGGTGTGCCTACGATGACATGTATGTCACGGTGACTTGTATTTTCCGGTCGACTTTAGTTACGATTAGGTCGACCTTGTTTAGAATTCGGTCGACCTCATATAGGATTAGGTCGACCTAATCTGTTGTTTCAGTGTAAAAACGGTTTATGGTGCCTACTTTGGATATTCATATCATACAATTGGCGAGATGGAAATTGAAGACTAATGACTTGTTTTGAAGCTGGAGTGTCCCTCTACATATTGAAGTGATTGAGAGCTCGATAGGAAGTCCAGAAGACCATTTTTGAACCTCATCAAAAAGCTATGCCAAAACTGGGAAACTGCCTAGAAATGGCTAAGTCTGGAAACGTGTTTGTGAAGCCTATTTTGGAGCTCAATTCGAGAAGCATGAATGCGAGTCGAGTCCAGGAGCCTCTACCACATTAAATTAGGTATGTTTTTATACAAGAATGGATATGCATTTTATTAACAACGAAGAAGAGACATTTACGAGTAGTGAATGTGTAGAATGATACCTAAGGTCAGCTTATTTACGCTATTTTGTACTATTTCACACTATTTTGTGCTCATTCACGTAATACTATGGTGATTTACGTAAGAGTGTATGTTTTTCACCCCATGCTAATGTAGGGACGACAAGTGGGTGAATTATAAAGCAAGTACCAAAATTTGACGTCAAATAATAATGCCAGAACTCACTTGTCACGTTCCTTCAATAATGGACTCTCGTACTTGGCTTCATTTATTAGAAGTACCAGTACAGTTACAACTTACAACCAACACTAATCCAAGTACATGACCAAGTTAATATGGAACTGGATAAATGCACCGGATAATCTGGTTTTGATTGAGAAAGTGGTCACGTTATGTCGCTCTTTTCACCACTTAATGAACTTCTTTGGTTTCAATGGCCTTTTCAAGATCTTTGACACATTGCATCCTCAATTTATAAAGATCTACTGTTATAACTAAGGAGCTCTTTGTATTGTCGACAATTCAATTTTTCATGAAGACATCATATATATTAAATTTGGTGATTATCTTGAACACATCATATATATTAAATTTGGTGATTATCTCGTACGTAATAAACTTCATGCTAAGGTCATTTCCACCACTCAAATGGTTGATAACATACAAACATAATCACACGAGCTTGTCTCGTCATTAATTCATATACGGACTTTTTTTTTTAACTACGTGAATGACTCTTAGCTCCCAAAGGAACACCAAAGATTTCATAATGAACTTCGGTTGGGAACAAGAAGCAGAGGTTGTTCCTTCTGCAAGGTAATCCCAAACTTCTCACTCATATCCATCTCTGCCGGATCTTCTCCATCGGGGAGGCACCAATCGAAGTTTCGAACCAAAGCAGCCAGAACCAACGGAATCTGCCTGGTGGCCAATGGCACTCCGGGGCACATCCTCCTCCCAGCGCCGAACGGCAGCAGCTCAAAATCCTGCCCTCTAAAATCCACCTCCGACCCAATGAACCTCTCCGGCTTAAACGACGTGGGGTCATCCTCCCACACCGTCGGATCCCTCGAAATCGCCCACACGTTGACCACAATCTGAGCCCCTTCAGGGACCGTGTAGCCCATCACCTCGCAACTCTCCGATGCTCGGTGCGGCAGCAGCAACGGTCCCGGCGGGTGTAGCCTCAGCGTCTCCTTCA